AAATCACAATCCACTGCACTGAAGTTGTTAAACACCTCAATATTATCTATTTATGATTTATGAAAACCCGGACTAAATCACGGAATCCAGGCATACAAGTGGAATGTACTGTATGACGCGGAATGTCACGGAATTTGTCAAAGTTTGGATGAATTAATGTAATGTAAAGTAGGTCAGCACACTTAAATCAAACCACGATACGGACTCGTATCTGTAAATACTAAGCCGCAAAAATACTATTTAAATATGAATCCTGCATGTTCTGCACGTCTCTGTGTATGTGAGTGGCACACACGCGCGGTGTTGCCAACTGAGTTTCACAGAAAGTTGCTAAAGGAAGGTCGATTTGTTGCTAAATCGTCATTGTTGACGTCATTGCGTAACCACAACGCAAAATTATGTCACAACATCAAATCTCAACAAAAAATATATTTTATATACGCTAATTTTAGGGAAGCACGATATTATCGGACTGATATCGGAATCGGCCGATAATGGCTTTACATGTAAATATCGGCATCGGCCGACATAAAAATTATAAAATTATTATTATTTACATAAAAATTATGCCAGAAGCTATAGCTTACATGAAAAACAAAACAAACACAAACATGACACTTGTAAATTAAATAATTTTATATATACCGATTTATTCATTAATGTGTAATATGTTTTATTTTTTAAACAAATCATAAGCTCTAAATGATTTTCAGAATTTTTACAACTCTTTTGCTTTAGACCATCTACAAATGTTAAATCTTAAAATAAAATGTTAGGGTTAACGCTGCATCTTTCTGGGGGGAAAATGCAGCGGTTGATATATAGTTATTTTCAAAGCTTCAATGTATTGTCAACAAACCTTCATTATTGTTTATTTAATTCTAACAAATAAGTTCTTGTTAAAAATTAACCAAAATTAAAAATATTTTGCTTATAATCTCTGCAGAGGAGAGACTTGGTGTTGTTTCCAAACAAAACGAAATATATCGGTATCGGCCAAAATGAGTCGAAAAATATCGGCATATCGATATCGGCAAAATCCAATATCGTGCATCCCTAGTTAATTTAGATCTGTTTGTAAAATAATATGCATCACATAATATTGAAATATAAATAACTGTATTTTAAATACATTGAATTATTGAACACTTACACATTTTTGATTGATTACCATTTAAGGTTTTTTTAATAGCTAGTAAAACTACACATTCTGAACAATTATGCTTTAACAAAGTCTTTTTCAAGGATTTCTATAGTCTTTGGCTTTAAGCGGTGTATTAGTAGTTAGTATGCTACACTGTAAGAAACGTCTGTAAAATAGCGCACAATCTACTATGTTAATATGAAAGAATTTTCCGTATTGGTTTTTTACCTGCATTTTAAATTACGCATTGTGTTTTCAGGTTACAGGGTGATAATGGATAATGTCCTGGAAGATTACTAGCATGTTTTACATTTTTCTTACAGTGTACTAACTGATCAACAATCGCAGGTACAAGCTACTAACAAAGTGTCTCATAAATGAACAATTATGCGATTATTATTAAATTGAACAATTGCAAATAGCAGCTAACTTAATTCCTGTGATGCGTGTAGTGCGAAGCATCTTTGGTTTCCTCTTTTTGTGTCATTTAGATGGAAAATGTGTGCCTTTTTATCGTCTGAGTCACTTATCAAAAGTTGCTAAAAGATGACAAATAAATCGTTATATCATACACATAGGCTACAGAAACTTAAAAGGTCCTCATGGCGACCCGTCAAAATAAAGGCTCGGTTTAGCTTAAAGAAATTGTCATAAATATTATTTGTTGCTTACTTCAAGTTTTACTAAATGTTTATGCTGGGTGCTCAGATCCCTTGTTATTCTTAATTTTGACACTAATTTTAATTTTTACACCAGACATATATATATCGGTTCAAAATATCGGTTATTAGTCTACTTAATAATCAGTATCTGCATAGCCTTGAAAAACATATTGGTCGAACCCTAATCATGTGACACTGAAGACTGGAGGAATGATGCTGAAAATACAGCTGCACATCACAGAAATACATTACAGTTTAACAGATACTCACACAGCTGTTTTAATTTGTAATAATGTTTCACTGGTTTTACTATATTTTTAATCAAATAAATGCAGGCTTGGTGAGCAGAAGAGATGTCTTTAAAAAAATCTTCATTACAAAACCTCCAAATCCAACTCAATAACAATAAATGAGACGCACACTAAAGCGCAGCTAAAAACTGAAGATGCTCATCTTCAATAATCCACTGACTGTCAATAAACATCAGAACAGACACTCTTCTGTTAATCAGACACGTTTAGCAACTGCTGATGATCTTAACGAGGCCAGATATCAGCTGATTGACCAGGTCAACATATCACATGATGCTGAGATCAAGGATCATGTGATCAACAAATTAAAGGAACAGCACACTAAAATAAAAAATAAAAAATCTATCCTCAGTTCATCAGAGATCGAGATGAGTTTGTTTCTTCATCAGATTTGTAGAAATGCAGCATTGCATCAGTGTCTCAGCAATGGATGCTCTGCAGTGAATGGGTGCCGTCAGAATGAGAGCTGATAAAAACATCACAATGATCCACAGCACTCCAGTCCATCAGTGAACATCTGGAGACGACAAAAGCTGAAACACATCCAGCATTAAGACGCTTTTATACGCGTTCATAATCCATAATAACGCTTCCTCCAGTGAGTCAGTGTTCTGGTGTGAATCAGGAGAGAAATCTGCACAGATCAAGCAGCGTTTAAACAGCTCTAAACACATATGTGGCTGGATTTTGATGTGAGAGACAACAGCAGATGCACTTTTTCACTGGAGGAAGAGTTATTATGGATTATAAAGAGATATTGCTTGTTTTTGCTCTATTTCTCCAACAACAATCATTCTGAATACAGCCACAGCGCTGTTTTGCGTCTCTGAGCAACATGCCGGTGTTTCGTTCCTGAATGAATCACTCGTTTAAATGATTCGGTTCAATCGCAGCGACTCACTTATTAACAGTGCTTTGCTGCCACCTGCTGGCGGTTTCCATTTCACATTTCGGCTTTTACTTTCTTTTCTTTTTCATGTTTTAAATCATTTCAAATATCAGTATTCAACGTTTTATGTTTAATATATCAAAACATTATTTATGCATTTGTAATTGCAGGTTAAATGCATTCGTGTCTTGCATTAAACAAAATACATGTGTGTAAATACATCTAAATGTAGCTTCAGATGCAGCTTTTGTGCTGTTTCAATTTGCTCGGTAACAGCCCATATGTCTTATTATTCTAATTCACTGATTAAATGTAAGAATTTGACTCAAAAGATAATGCACACTTTTAGCGAAAACGGCTTTATGAAGGTAAAAATGCCCATAAAATGCAAAAATCAGATTAAACTTATTGGAAAAGATTAATTTCTATCAGTATGAACTGACCAGCACACAGAATATGAAGAATATTAAAAACATTCGGAGTCTTCAGCAGTGCTTAAGATACCAGCACAATAACACACTCAGCAAAATATCGTCTAATTATCATCATCGATAAAATCCCAGAAAATATCGAGATATCATTTTTTGTCAATATCGCACACCCCTAATCCTGCGTTCACATTTTAACGTGATTTAAAACATTAAACTAATATTTATCGACCAGCATGCAGAATACTACGCCATTATCACTACGCCATTTTTATCTTAAGTGAGGGTAAACAGAAGAGAAAGAAAAGCTAGTGTACAGCATCTTTAGATCTGTGTGCGTTCGGTGTTAAAGAGACAGCAGCCGAATAAACACGCTGCCTGTCATTCATGTTAATCAGAGAGCAAAGGAAGCAATCGCTTTAATAACTTTAATTCATCTATATTTTATGTTTCAGGCATCATACGTGTCCCTGCAGCACAGAAGCAGTGTTAAGTCGCTGGGGGATATTTGTAGCAATAGCCAACAATACATTGTATGGGTCACAATTATACATTTCTCTTTTATGCCAAAAATCATTAGGATATTAAGTAAAGATCATGTTCCATGAAGATATTTTGTAAATTCCGTACCTAAAACTTAATGTTTGATTAGTAATATGCATTGCTAAGAACTTCATCTGAACAACTTTAAAGATGATTTTCTCAATATTTAGATTTTTTTGCACCCTCAGATTCCAGATTTTCAAATATTGTCCGATCCTAACAAACCATACATCAATGGAAAGCTATTTATTCAGCTTTCAGATGATGCATACATCTCAATTTCACAGCATCTTTAGATCTGTGTGCGTTCGGTGTTAAAGAGACAGCAGCCGAATAAACACGCTGCCTGTCATTCATGTTAATCAGAGAGCAAAGGAAGCAATCGCTTTAATAACTTTAATTCATCTATATTTTATGTTTCAGGCATCATACGTGACCCTGGAGCACTACAGTCTTAAGTCGCTGGGGGATATTTGTAGCAATAGCCAACAATACATTGTATGGGTCACAATTATACATTTCTCTTTTATGCCAAAAATCATTAGGATATTAAGTAAAGATCATGTTCCATGAAGATATTTTGTAAATTCCGTACCTAAAACTTAATGTTTGATTAGTAATATGCATTGCTAAGAACTTCATCTGAACAACTTTAAAGATGATTTTCTCAATATTTAGATTTTTTTGCACCCTCAGATTCCAGATTTTCAAATATTGTCCGATCCTAACAAACCATACATCAATGGAAAGCTATTTATTCAGCTTTCAGATGATGCATACATCTCAATTTAGAAAAATGGACCCTTCTGACTGGTTTAGTGCTCCAGGGTCACAGATATCGGTCGCTCGATCTTCTGATATCGGTATCGGCACTAGGCCTCATCAAGTTTAAACGAGTCTGCCATGTTTACCCTGCGCTCGCAACACCAAGGTCGTGGGTTCGAGTCCCGGGGAATGCATGAACTGATATAACGGATGTCGTGTATGTTGATTGATTGATTGATTGATTGACAGCTGTCTCACCTTGTTGAGTGACGGCACCAGCAGTCCTCTCCATTTGGGCGCGTTCTCCTCACTGTAGAAATCATACTGGAAGGGTGCAGCCTGCATGATGTGTGTGTGTGAGTGTGTGTGTGTGTGTGTGTGTGTGATTGAGAGTGTGTGTGTGTGTGTGTGTGTCACATCCACCTGATCCGAGGAGGAGGAAGAGCACACCTGTCTAACGTGACCATCGCATCCTCCAGACAGCAGCGGAGCTCCAGCATGCGTTATCGATCAGCTATCGATCCCCGAGGCGATCAGTGCGCGCGCATCTCCTCAGATATCGATCAGGTATCGATCGGCGCGATCAGGCTGGGCTCGCTGGGACTCCAGTCACAGAGCGGGTCGGTTTGTCGGGTTCCGCCGTGTTTCGATCAGATCTCGGTGTTTTATTGATCCGCGGTCGTTCGGGCGGTTCACGAACATGCGCAATAAAGCGCCTCAGAAAACTCCCCGCTTTCGCCGCGTCACCTCGAGATCCGCCGCGAGCGCTCGAGCACCGGCTGAAGCGCGAAAGCCCAAACCGAGAGCACGACCCGAGGGTGTAAACGCAAGAGTCTCTCCGCGGTTTGAAAGAGACGAAGCAAAAACACTGTGCGTGTGATGACGCGATGACGCAATGACGCACGGGCGGCGCAGGCAAACTAACAGATCGCCGACCGTTCCGAAAACCCAGCGTACGAAGTATAAAACAATACATATAACAGTATATATATCACAATTAGAGAGTATAATAATGCGAGATGTGAAATATACATTAGAAAGAACACGCTTAGAGTTTGACACCTGTGCATTTTATTATTTATTTATTTTTACAAATTGCAATAGTTTGGATACAGCCCGTGATTTTGATTTCAAACACGACACTGATTTTTAGCTTCTTAATTCGCTTTCTCTCCGAGTGGGATGACGTCATGACGTCAGACGTAACTAGCGGAGCGCAGGGACGCCGATCGCAGCACTACTGTAACACGTTTAATCTAATATGTTTTCTACTCCTGTAGTACTGTACTGTACTGTTATATGTATTATTTATGTGCTTATTGTAACCTAACTTTTAAATGAATTTTAATCCGTTTTTATTTATTTTAATCTATTCGTTTTATTTTTAATACAAATTAATTTTCTAATATAATGACTTTTATTTAATAAAATATTATTTACAGTTGTATTGCATCAGTTTTATCTTTAATTTAATTTATTTTAATATTTGCATTATTTATTTAATTATTACAATTTATTTATGTTAACACAAATTGGCATTTTTATTTATTTCAATGTATTTAAAAAATTTTTTTTTAATGAAATCAACTTTTTAGGTCTAGTTTGGTTAGCCCGAGAATAATGCATGTTATAAACACGGAACGATCATTCGGCTTCGAAATAAATATTCCTAGCATTACGAATAATATTAATGTTATTATTATGTTTATAAACAAGCGTCATATGATCGAAACCCTCAGCGTGATCACGTCAGCGGCGTGCGCCAGTGACGTAAAACGTGCCGACGTCATCACCCGCGCGTCTGGCGGGAATCCGACGCGGCTCGCGGACTGTCGACAGCCCCAGAAGAGTTTGAGTCGCGTTTATTTGCTCATACAGTGGTTTATTCTGGTTTCTCTTCGCGTCAGCGTCAGGTGAGGGCGTCTAGCTAGCCACAGGTGTGCGTTTGTGTGCGGAAACGGCGACTGAATGGAGATACAAGATGAATTCTGACTATAATGACGACGATGAAGTCCAGATTAATAATCACAATGAGAAATATCAGCAATGAATATCATAATTGCTAGTGTGTGTGTGTGTGTGTGTGTGTGTGTGTGTGTGTGTGTCTCTCTCTCTCTCTCTCTCTCTGTGTGTGTGTCTCTCTCTCTCTCTCTCTCTCTGTGTGTGTGTCTCTCTCTCTCTCTCTCTCTCTGTGTGTGTGTCTCTCTCTCTCTCTCTCTCTCTGTGTGTGTGTCTCTCTCTCTCTCTCTCTCTCTGTGTGTGTGTCTCTCTCTCTCTCTCTCTCTCTGTGTGTGTGTCTCTCTCTCTCTCTCTCTCTCTGTGTGTGTGTCTCTCTCTCTCTCTCTCTCTCTGTGTGTGTGTCTCTCTCTCTCTCTCTCTCTCTGTGTGTGTGTCTCTCTCTCTCTCTCTCTCTCTGTGTGTGTGTCTCTCTCTCTCTCTCTCTCTCTGTGTGTGTGTCTCTCTCTCTCTCTCTCTCTCTGTGTGTGTGTCTCTCTCTCTCTCTCTCTCTCTGTGTGTGTGTCTCTCTCTCTCTCTCTCTCTCTGTGTGTGTGTCTCTCTCTCTCTCTCTCTCTCTGTGTGTGTGTCTCTCTCTCTCTCTCTCTCTCTGTGTGTGTGTCTCTCTCTCTCTCTCTCTCTCTGTGTGTGTGTCTCTCTCTCTCTCTCTCTCTCTGTGTGTGTGTCTCTCTCTCTCTCTCTCTCTCTGTGTGTGTGTCTCTCTCTCTCTCTCTCTCTCTGTGTGTGTGTCTCTCTCTCTCTCTCTCTCTCTGTGTGTGTGTCTCTCTCTCTCTCTCTCTCTCTGTGTGTGTGTCTCTCTCTCTCTCTCTCTCTCTGTGTGTGTGTCTCTCTCTCTCTCTCTCTCTCTGTGTGTGTGTCTCTCTCTCTCTCTCTCTCTCTGTGTGTGTGTCTCTCTCTCTCTCTCTCTCTCTGTGTGTGTGTCTCTCTCTCTCTCTCTCTCTCTGTGTGTGTGTCTCTCTCTCTCTCTCTCTCTCTGTGTGTGTGTCTCTCTCTCTCTCTCTCTCTCTGTGTGTGTGTCTCTCTCTCTCTCTCTCTCTCTGTGTGTGTGTCTCTCTCTCTCTCTCTCTCTCTGTGTGTGTGTCTCTCTCTCTCTCTCTCTCTCTGTGTGTGTGTCTCTCTCTCTCTCTCTCTCTCTGTGTGTGTGTCTCTCTCTCTCTCTCTCTCTCTGTGTGTGTGTCTCTCTCTCTCTCTCTCTCTCTGTGTGTGTGTCTCTCTCTCTCTCTCTCTCTCTGTGTGTGTGTCTCTCTCTCTCTCTCTCTCTCTGTGTGTGTGTCTCTCTCTCTCTCTCTCTCTCTGTGTGTGTGTCTCTCTCTCTCTCTCTCTCTCTGTGTGTGTGTCTCTCTCTCTCTCTCTCTCTCTGTGTGTGTGTCTCTCTCTCTCTCTCTCTCTCTGTGTGTGTGTCTCTCTCTCTCTCTCTCTCTCTGTGTGTGTGTCTCTCTCTCTCTCTCTCTCTCTGTGTGTGTGTCTCTCTCTCTCTCTCTCTCTCTGTGTGTGTGTCTCTCTCTCTCTCTCTCTCTCTGTGTGTGTGTCTCTCTCTCTCTCTCTCTCTCTGTGTGTGTGTCTCTCTCTCTCTCTCTCTCTCTGTGTGTGTGTCTCTCTCTCTCTCTCTCTCTCTGTGTGTGTGTCTCTCTCTCTCTCTCTCTCTCTGTGTGTGTGTCTCTCTCTCTCTCTCTCTCTCTGTGTGTGTGTCTCTCTCTCTCTCTCTCTCTCTGTGTGTGTGTCTCTCTCTCTCTCTCTCTCTCTGTGTGTGTGTGTCTCTCTCTCTGTGTGTGTGTGTGTGTCTCTGTGTGTGTGTGTGTCTGTCTGTGTTCACAGGAGGAGAAATGCAGGCGTTTTTGAAAGGGTCTTCGTCGCAGAGTGTTAAAGCTCAGAAAGTATCCTCCTCTTCATCATCAGCTGGAGAGAAGAAGCAGAAGGCCGTGCCCTGGGTGGAGAAATAGTGAGGCCTCATCATGTCTGCTCATACACACTCAGTCAAAGCTTTCTGAATGTTAAAGACGTCTCTTCTGCTCACCGAGCCTGCATTTATTTGATCAGAAATACGGCAAAAGCAGTAGAATATTATTACTATTTAAAACTGTTTTCTATGTGAATATCTGTTAAACTGTAATGTATTTCTGTGATGCGCAGCTGTATTTTCAGCATCATTACTCCAGTCTTCAGTGTCACATGATCTTCAGAAATCAGTCTAATATACTGATCTGCTGCTCCAGAAACATTTCTGATTATTACAGAGTACATCTTTTCAGGCTTCTTTGATGAACAGAAAGTTCAGAAGATCAGCATTTATCTGAAATAAAAAGCTTTTGTAACATTACACACTCTACCATTCAGAAGCTTGGAGTCCGTGTAATATTTTTCTCTGTAAGAAATTATAGAAACTAATACTTTTATTCAGCAAGGATGCTTAAAACTGATCAAAAGTGATGATAGAGACATTTATAATGTTACTGAAGAGTTCTATTTCAGACACTTCTGAACGTTCTATTCATCAAAGAATTTTTGAGCAGCAGATCAGCATATTATACTGATTTCTGAAGATCATGTGACACTGAAGACTGGAGGAATGATGCTGGAAATACAGCTGCGCATCACAGAAATACATTACAGTTTAACACATATTCACATAGAAAACAGCTGTTTTACATTCTAACAATATTCTACTGCTTTTGCTGTATTTCTGATCAAATAAATGCATGCTCGGTGAGCAGAAGAGACTTCTTTAAAGAGCATCAGAAACATCTGACTGGTCGTGTGTGCAGCCTGTGTTTGGGCTCCGGTGTGTGTTTCGTGCAGTATTTCTGGTTTGATGGGTGTTTCTCTGCCCTCTCCAGCAGGCCGAGGTGTGTGGATGAAGTGGCCTTCCAGGAAAATACATTACAGTTTAACAGAGATTCACATAGAAAACAGCTGTTTTACATTCTAACAATATTCTACTGCTTTTGCCGTATTTCTGATCAAATAAATGCATGCTCGGTGAGCAGAAGAGACTTCTTTAAAGAGCATCAGAAACATCTGACTGGTCGTGTGTGCAGCCTGTGTTTGGGCTCCGGTGTGTGTTTCGTGCAGTATTTCTGGTTTGATGGGTGTTTCTCTGCCCTCTCCAGCAGGCCGAGGTGTGTGGATGAAGTGGCCTTCCAGGAGGAGGTGGTGGCAGTACTGAAGAAGTCTCTAGAGGGCGCTGATGTGCGTGACGCGTGGTGATCACATGACATTTCACAACCAATCAGCAGCCTGATCCCAAAAGCGCCATGCTCCTTCCTCAGTCATCATACACTAAATATATATTTTAAAAAAACACGCGCACATATTTACAACAATTGAAATAAAATAACCGTTAACATAAAATATATATTTATGTATTATAATTAGTTGCCAAGTCAAATGTCTTAATGTTCATTTAGTTGAACTTGAAGTAAAACAAAATATAAAAACCTTTAACTTTTTCTATTTTAATTAGTTGCCAAGGCAAAACTTCTCACTTTAATTTAAGTTAATGTAGTGCTGGACGGTATGATCAAAAATGTATATCACGGTATTTTTCTAAATGATACCGGTTTCACGGTACATAACGGTATTGTTTTTTCATGCATGAGCGGGTGTTAACCATATCTTCTACTGATTGAGAGGAAATACTGCAGTATATTGACTTAGAATGCACTATTTTACTGTCATGATGAGTGAATATTGTCAGAAAATACCACACTAAATAGTGACTAAACACGACCGCTTTTAATACATGTTAACCAGGAGTCTCTCACTTATAATCACAGCATCGTCTGATAAACTCAGCATGCATCTACACTAAAGAGCGGCTAAGCGGTGGTTTTGGCTATATTATGGTTTTGTCTCGTGCGGCGCACTGCCTGCGTCTGAGTAACAAACTAAAAACAACAACAAACTAAAAAGTGCATGTGATATTAACAGACGAACTACGCTCATATTTATAATTCCTAACAATCAGTAAGCGACAGGTGCTAGGAGACGCTGTTTTGTACTCATTTATTGAGGAGTCGGCTGCGGTGCTTCTCTGCCGCTCACTGCACAGAACAGACGCCGAGAGAGGCGACACTTCTCCGGGAAAGCCAGACCTCGCGCTCGCGGGACAGCACTGGAGAAATCCTCCAACTGAACCATAGCTGAGCTTTATCCAGAAAAGCCGCTAGGTTTGTCAGTACGAATATTCTCTGGAAAAAGCCGCTAAAAGGGTCTGAAAGTTGCTAAATCTAGTGCTAAAGTGGCGCTCGTGTGTGTGAGACGCGGGAGCTGATGGAGCGGGCGCTGGATATTTGTGGAGGTCAGTGTGGATATTGTGGATGAGTTCTTCTGTGTCATCACGTTCTATTAGTTCTACAGCTGCAGCTTCTGAACTAACACATGCAGCTGTTCCCTCACCACAGTGCAGCAGTGAAAAGAGACCTCTCTCAAACAGTGTCGCGTTCACAACCTCGTTTAAGCGACATACACCGGTATTGCGGTATTTTAAAAATTAATATCATAACAAAAATAAACACCGGTATTCGGTATGAACCGGTATACCGCCCAGCACTAAGTTAAAGTACTAAAATTACTAAAACTCAATATAAAAAATTAAAAAAAAAAATTTTTAAACTTATTTTATTGCAATCAGTTACCAAGGCAAAATTTCTTTAAGTACTAAATTGCCTAAAACTGAAATAAAAATGATTAAAACCCAAACGGATATCAAAAACATACACAACAAAATAACTTTAATTTTAAAATGGAAAATATAAGAACAAAAAGTGCAGAAAAATTACCAACAATTTAAATGTATTTCAATTGTGCCAAGACAGTTAAAATTTTAGTTTTAAGGTTGAAAGTATTATTAATAAAACTTGAATTGTACCCTATTTTATTTAGTTGCCGAGGCAAAATGTAAACTTTTAATTCAAGCTGAAGTACTAAAGCTGAATTAAGCACAAAAAACGACAACAAAATGCCTAAAATTAAGTAATATGAAAACTGAAAATATCAAAATGAAAAGTAATTCTGGATATGAATTGATTTGACATCACTGAGACCAAAAATTGATCTGAATAATGTCTGCTTTCTTCTGTAGTTCAACTCATTTCATAAATGATCAACTCTACACAGTTATTGAACTGATCTGAATGATGTCTTGATTCTCTTATTTTCCCGTTCGTCTCTGTAAAGCTGCATTGAAGCGGTCTGTGCTGAATGAGTACAGTGGTGAAATCCATCCGCAGACTTTTAGCATCTTTTTAAACTAGATTTGATCAAGTGTTATTTAGCAGATGCCGCTTAGGCCATACAAGACTGACTAAAGGTGAAGACTCTACTCATGCATGTTCTGCAAGATTCCCCTTTCTGTCAAACATATTTTTATGTATGTAGAAAACTCTTTTACGACGTGAACTCGCTTAAAGATTTATTTAGTGTAATGTTTCCTGGAAAAGTTTTAGAATTTGTATCATACGTTAATGTAAAAAATCTTGTGTGATATATCTTGTTTGCTGGTTTTTATTGTATTTGTTATAACCTAAGATGCTGGCATGGCATTGAATAAATATATACTGTACAGTGATGTTAACGTGTCGTTGCAGCTGCCCAACCTGCTGTTTTATGGCCCTCCTGGAACCGGAAAGACGTCCACCATCCTAGCGGCCGCCAGAGAGCTTTATGGGTAAGATCTCCAGCTGTGTTCCTGACGATAACAACGTTTTGTTGTGCGATACATCGCCCCAGAAATAACTGCGATAAGCGATTTTATTCCACTTAATATATAATCATGATGTAACAGCATAATAATGCAAGAAGGCCTACACACTTCCAAATGACAACAAGCTTTTAATTCTTAAGAATATTTAGGTCTTAGAAATTAAGTATCAAAATATTAGATACCTTAAAAAAACTTGAATAAATAGTAGTGCTGTCAAACGATTAATCGCATCCAAAATAAAAGTTTTTGTTTGCATAATATATGTGTGTGTGTTCTGTGTATGTTTATATAAAGACACACACATACAGTATATATTTAGAAAATGTTTACATGTCTATTTTTATATTCATATAATTTATATTATAAATATATTTAATATATAAACACAACCTTTTTCTGAAATGTATACATGCATGTGTGTGTATTTATATATACATACTCAGAACACACACATATATATTATGTGAACAAAAACTTTTATTTTGGATGATTAATCGTTTGATAGCACTAAAAACATTTTCTAACAAAAAATTCAAAGTAACAAGTAGGAAAAAAGAACTTACAGATTTTTCCCTGACCTTCTTTTCTCTAAATGAAGGGTGCACACTATTGCTGAGAAACACGAGCACTACTCCGCACTCAGATGTGCGTCAGATCCCTGAACAAGGCCATATCTGCAGATGAAGCTGTTTGTAGAAGCGTTTTTAAATTTGTACGAGAAGCTGCAAAAGACACGGGTGTGAGTGGAATGCATGGTGACATTAATTTTTATTTAAATATAATGGGCGATATATTGCGTCAACAAAAATGATTGAGGTCATGTACATATATTGTGCGATAAGTCGATATATTGATTATTGCGACAGGCCTGCTGATGCTGATTTAGAAACTTACGTGTGTGTGTGTGTGTGTGTGTGTGTGTGTGTGTTGACCTGCTCGTGTGAGTGTGTGTTGACCTGCTCGTGTGAGTGTGTGTTGACCTGCTCGTGTGAGTGTGTGTTGACCTGCTCGTGTGAGTGTGTGTTGACCTGCTCGTGTGAGTGTGTGTTGACCTGCTCGTGTGAGTGTGTGTTGACCTGCTCGTGTGAGTGTGTGTTGACCTGCTCGTGTGAGTGTGTGTTGACCTGCTCGTGTGAGTGTGTGTTGACCTGCTCGTGTGAGTGTGTGTTGACCTGCTCGTGTGAGTGTGTGTTGACCTGCTCGTGTGAGTGTGTGTTGGGAATGATAGTATTATATACAGTGATGAAGGGCTATGTCGATTAGCATTGCATTATTAAAGCAATAATCCCCGTGAAGCCGTGGTTTACAGTGAATTTATAACAGCTAAGAGGCGTTGTTATGATGTGAAGCAGAGTGCCTAAAACCCCCTTAGCTGTTATAACGGCTTCTCGGGGGTTACTGCTTTTATAAAACGGTTATTTCATATACGTAGTAAGGTTTCACAAAATAAAACGGAGCAAATAAAGTGTAATGATATTAATAAACACAGTATTCTTCCACCAAACAATGTAGCTCCTCAGAAACAGTTGTGGTTGCTACAAAGTGGTTGCCGAGCAACACACAAACGTAAACAAAGCTGTGTGTTACTTTGTAGCGTCATTTACAACAGCTTCGAACACGGCTCAGCCAATCAGAGCCAAGCACCGGAACTCTCCGCTTTATCATTGGATATTTTCTTTATAAAATATACCTAAAATTGCTTGAAGCAATCAGGATTAATCATATCCAAAATAAAAGTTTGTGTACATAATATATGTGTGCGTGTACTGTGTGTATATATAAATACACACACATGCATGTATAGATTTAAGAAAAAGTTTGTTTATATATTAAATATATTTATATATAATATAAAATATAATGATATAAATTTATAAATATATATATACATGTAAATATTATAAAAATATATGCTGTAATTGTATTTATACATAATAAATATATACAGTACACACATATATTATGTAAACGAAATATTTTATTTTGGATGTGATTAATCGTTTGACAGCACTATATTAAATATATACATGTAAATATTTTCTAAATATATACTTTGTGTCTCTTTATATATACATAATAAAAATTCACAGTACATTATATAAACAAACTTTTATTTGGATGAGATTTAATCGTTCCCCAGCACTAATAAATCATGATTTTTCTACAGTAACTTTTACTGCTGAATTATCCTCTAACCTAATTCATAATAGTATTTTTGTCATAGATTATGATCACGTATTATTATTTTTTTCATTGTCTGTATTTAGTAGATTGTGTGTAGCACACAGAGTGATGATCAGGTCAACACACATTGAGATTGAGATTCAACACTGACTTAGGATCGGTTATGGAGCCAGCCCTAGTCTCACACTGACCGAACGCGGTGTTGCTCTCTGACCCGCAGCGGGAAGCCCTGTCCTCCGTTTAAGATCATCATCCTGGACGAGGCGGACTCCATGACCGGCGCGGCTCAGGCGGCTCTCAGACGCACCATGGAGAAAGAGTCTCGAACCACGCGCTTCTGCCTCATCTGCAACTACGTCAGCCGGTCAGTGTGAGCCACCACGCAATCCCATGAGCCTCTGCCGCTGCACAGACTAACTGCTGCTGTCTCTACAGGATCATTGAGCCGCTGACCTCCAGATGCTCCAAGTTCCGCTTCAAACCGCTGGCCAATGACATTCAGCAGGAGCGCCTGCTGCAGATCTGCGGGAAGGAGAGCCTCAAGTACACCACAGAGGTACATTTTAATATACATGTTCATTTATTTCATCTTTTACTTTTTTAAATTAAATTTTTTTTTATATAAATCTTTCATTTATTTTATTCATTGTGTTCAGTGCTGTTTGTTAGGGATGTAACGATATAATCAATATCACGAGAGCAAAACTGTCTCGATATTATCACGGTCTCGTGACGGTATGAAACGATAGATGTGTGTGTAGTTTATAAAATATATTTAAACTTCTTATTCTAACATAAAAGGTGCTTAAAGTTGTGTTTTGGGGCATTATGCTTTTGTCAAACGAACTAATTTTATTTATTTTATTTTTTTTATCTGTTAAATTTTAAATTTTCCTATTTTCCATTTTTATAATTTTTTTCTTTTATTTGTATTTTTAAAATACATTTTTCATTTATTTTATTCTTTTTTTTATTTAATCTACTTTTTTAAAATTAGTGTTTTTTCATTTTTTTTTTTTCTTTTTACTTTGCATTATTTTAAAATTATTTTTAATTTATTTTTAATTTATTTTATTCATCTATTGTTTAATTTTATGTAATATTTCTTTAATTATTTAAAATTTTTCTTGGTAATGGAAAAATCCCAATTACTGTTCACACTTTTCACAGAAATATATCTTCATTTAAAAGTTATTTTTAGTATTTTATTTATTTTTAATTTAATTTTACTTATTTATTTACTTTTTAAAAATTGTTAATTAAAATAATTAATTCATTCATTTTTCTTATTTTGTTTTCACTTTAATTTCTTTATTTTTGTTGATAATGGGAAAAATCCCAATTACTGTTTACACTTTTCATACAAATATATACATTTACAATTTAATTTTACAAATTTTTAATGTACTTTTTATTTTATTTTGTTCATTATTTAAATTCATTTATTTTTTTGTTTATTTTGCAAATCTGTTTAATGTTGTGTTGTTTTTATTCATTTATTTTTGTTGTGATATTGGGGGAAAATTCCAATTACTGTTGACACTTGTCTTTATAATGTTTGACTGATAAAATACTGCTGCAAAAAACAGGTAAGTGGTGTAAACGGAGTAAATGTTTTGGCAAACGTGTGTGTGTGTGTGTGTGTGTGTGTGTCAGGGCATCGAGGCTCTGGTGAGCGTGTCGGAGGGAGATCTCAGGAAAGCCATAACTTATCTCCAGAGCGCCGCCAGACTCCACACCGAGCAAGAAATCACTGAGCAGATCATCATTGAGATCGCTGGGGTGAGAGAACCTTCCTGATGGAGATCGAGCATCTCTCAATACAGCATCTCAACACTCAGACTCTCTTTTCCAGGTGGTTCCACCCAAAGTGATCGAGACGCTCCTCCAGATCTCTTACAGAGGCACGTTTGAGAAGCTGGAGCTCGCTGTGAAGGTCAGTCATCTGTGAGGGGTTTCTCTGCAGCTCTGCAGCTCTGATCCATAATCTCACTCTTGATTTGTGCAGGACATGATCGATGAGGGATACGCCGCCACCAACGTCCTCAACCAGTTACACGACGCCGTCATCGACGAGAAGCTGAGCGATAAACAGAAATCCGTCATCACACAGAAGATGGCTGTAAGTCTGCAGAGACGGGTGTGAAGTTTTGTGTCTTTGTTAGCGATGTAACGATATTATCTCGATATTATCGCGGTCACATGACGGTATGAAACGATAGGTGTGTGTGTAGTTTTTCAAATATATTTAAACTTCTTATTGTAACATAAAAGGTGTTTAAAGTAGTGTTTTGGGTCATTCTGCTTCGGCAGTATCTCAAACGAACTCGAACCGAAAGCACAATATGCTTCATCTCTTCATCAAGTCTGTTTCAAAGTGAAGCACACACTTGGTTCAGACGATCGGCTCGTGATCCGGTGTTTTCTGCGTCTCAGAGCGACTCGTTCACACTGAATGAATGCGGTCCACTCCTTTATTTCACCTGCTGTGAGTTTAGCGCGCGTTTGGGAACGCAGCAGACACCAGTTATGCTTTATTTTCACGGCAGATGATGACAGCGTTTCTCTAGATTTGTAGCGAGACGTGTTTTTGTAATCCTGTTTTCACTGAAGCTGGAGTTTCCTTCTAAATAAAAGCTTAAAGTGCAGCATGAATCGCTGACAGCTAGCGGTTTAAACGCAGGCCAGATTCACAAGATCTCTCTCAAGTGTAGAAAGTAGGAAAGAAGTATTGTTATTTCTCTACTGTAGTGTAAAGCTAAAATAATATAGCTATGAAACATTCATTTGCATTTATCTTACAGTGCATCTGTTTCACAATATATGGCTATTACTGTTATTATAATAATTAGTTTATCTTCCTAAAACAGCAGTGTGAGTGTAATTTAGACTGAGACAGTAGATCACAAATAAAAAGAGGGTTGAGTCTCCTTTAAAGTTCAGCTACAAGACAATTCACTGACTTTCTTCTGATTTAAGTTTTCTTAGTTAAGAACAAGTGTCGCAGCTCTTCATTCTGAACTCTCAAAGTGCATTAGAAAATAAAATTTTCCCCCAATTCTTCTTTTTTTTTTTTTTTTTTAGTATAGCAATAATATCGTATCGTGTGGTTTTGACACAGTGTTTGTGTGTTTCAGGAGGTGGATAAGTGTCTGGCAGACGGCGCAGACGAGTATCTGCAGTTACTGAGTCTCTGCTCTGTCATCATGCAGCAGGCCACACACAGCACCTGAGCCGACCAATCAGCTGCTCCGTCACACCTGAGCCGACCAATCAGCACTGGCGCTGATTCCACACGGCTGCCTAGACTGTTGTTTTCAACTTTTTGTACGTGTAACGTTTGCAATTAAAAACACTTCTTTCTAATATGTGTTGTGCTATGTTTTTAATCACTTAAAGAGACAGTTCACTCAAAAATGAGAATTCTGTTTGCTGCTCCCCATTGACTTCCATAGTGTGGGAAAAAATACTATACAAGTCAATGGCTACCAGCAGCTGTATTAATGCCCAGCCAGTAGGTGGCGATGTCCCTCAAACATCACACATGCTTATATTGTTGTATTTTATATGGAGACGATAGCAGTACAGTTCCCAAAAACTTGCACTTTGGAACTAATTTTCAAAAATTAGCGTTTTTAGTCCCGCAAAGTGCCGTTTTCATGTAAATAAACGGCAGAAACGCATACAAGTTTTCTGTTTTGAGTTGAAAACGGTGTTGTGTAAACACCCCCTCCAAATATTGACAGAACTATCCCTTTAATATTTTCAAAATATCATAAATAGTGCTGTCAAATGATTAATCGCATACAAAATAAAAGTTTTTGTTTACATAATATATGTGTGTTCTGTGTATATTATGTATATATAAATACACACACATACAATATATATATTAAAAATATTTACATGTCTATATTCATCTAATTTATATTATATTTAAATATATAAACGACATTTTTCTGAAATGTATACATGCATGTGTGTGTGTTTATATATATATAATAAATATACACAGCACACATTATGTAAACAACTTTTATTTTGGATGTGATCGCCATTTAATTGTTTGACAGCACTAATATTTTTATTTATTTACTTATATATGACAGAACTATCCCTTTAATATTTTCAAAATATCATAAATAGTGCTGTCAAATGATTAATCGCATACAAAATAAGTTTTTGTTTGCATAATATATGTGTGTTCTGTGTATATTATGTATATATAAATACACACACATACAATATATATATTAAAAATATTTACATGTCTATATTCATCTAATTTATATTATATTTAAATATATAAACGACATTTTTCTGAAATGTATACATGCATGTGTGTGTGTTTATATATATATAATAAATATACACAGCACACATTATGTAAACAACTTTTATTTTGGATGTGATCGCCATTTAATTGTTTGACAGCACTAATATTTTTATTTATTTACTTATATAATGTAATTATTTATAAATTATATAATTATAATCATTTATTTAAATTTTAAATAATGATTATAATTAGATATATTTATATAATTATTATATTTAAAAAAGATTTCCTTTATACAGACAAAATCCTAGTTTACTACACTTTTATTTCAATTCTTTGAATACCATATCAAGTGGTCACAGCAAGAGCTAATTCCATTTGAACACACAACAACTTTTCATCCTAAAGATGTGAGTACATAGAGGACATTAACGGGTAAAAGCTGTTCTGTCGTCTTGAGTGGCTCTAGAAGGGTCTGTTTCTGGAGCGTGTGTTGATCAGTCCCAGCACTGAGAAAGCACTCGCTGCAGCCGTCACTAAACTGATGGCGCCTATGGCTCGTGACGCCTGCCAACACACAATCACACACTGTATGAGATCAGCAGATTACAGCAGCAAAATATCAAATGATGTCTCGTGATGATCAGTATGCATGAGAGGAAATCGCAGTGTATTTGATGGCATGCTGGCTGATCGGCACATTCATCTGTGACAGTATTTATATCTTAGATACTCGTCTAACTAGACAGCATCTTTGTCATAAGGCATGTCCTGAATCAGTAGCATTTTTGTTTTCTCCACAGGATAGAAAAAAATTTAAAATACAAAAAGGTAATTGTCACTTATGTTTATAGGTTACTTACAATTATAGGTTTATATCTCAATTCATTGCAAGTTTAGGTCTCAAATCTAAGTTTACATGTTGCTATTCTAAGTTTAAGTCTCACATTCGTAAATTCACATCTCGCAATTCTCAGTTTATATCTTGCAAAGATAAGTGTAAACCTCAAATTCTAAGTGTACATCTCGCACTTCTGACTTTTTTTCTTAGAATTGAACATTTTTATCTCAATTCTACGTTTCCATCTCAATTCTTTTTTTGGGAATTGCAAGTTATATCTCACAATTCTACGTTTCCATCTCAATTCTTTTTTTGGGGAATTGCAAGTTATATCTCACAATTCTACGTTTACATCTCAATTCTTTTTTTGGGGAATTGCAAGTTATATCTCACAATTCTACGTTTCCATCTCAATTCTTTTTTTGGGAAATTGCAAGTTATATCTCACAATTCTACGTTTACATCTCAATTCTTTTTTTTGGGGGGGGAATTGCAAGTTATATTTCACAATTCTACGTTTACATCTCAATTCTTTTTTTTTGGGAATTGCAAGTTATATCTCACAATTCTACGTTTACATCTCAATTCTTTTTTTGGGGAATTGCTCATTTATCTCTGACAATTCTGTGTTTATTCTGATTCTGAGTTCATTCTGAGAGTTCCGAGGAGCTCACTTGAAACAAAGAAACTAATAAAATATGTCAAAAAAATTTATCCAATGGTAAGAAATGTAATAAGCTGTCACAGCTTGGAATTTAACTTTAAAATAACTTTCCTGGATTTAACTTAAGATAACTTAAATATCCACTTCATATTTCAAGTTAGGCAGCACAAACACTTACTTTTTTAAGTTGAAACAGCATGTTTACAGAGTCTTTTACATACAGTATACCATGGTACTGGCTGAACACCAGACTCCCAGCACATGCCCCCTAAGAAGTGTGCTAGTAATCCAGTGTTTGTGTTGTGCACACAGAGACAAAAGAAGAGCACTAGACCTGCTCAGACACTGCCTCCCCGTAGCGCAGGAGAGTGACGAAGTGCTCACAGTTGCTTCCCAGCAGGTCATATGACACCTCCTGTCCAATGAGCAGCTGCGCTCGCTGGATGATCTCCGACACGGCCAGCGGCGTGTGATTGTCATCATATTTATTATTGATCCGGTATGAATCTCCTCCCACGACCTCCTTCAGGAGCTGCATGCGGACCACGGCCTTCCGGCTGAACACGGACTTCACACTGGACACAGCTGTGGCCGGACTCTCGTCTGCCCCGAGGAAAACACAGACAGAGACGTTTAGTCCACATCTGCCCTCAAAAAACATTTAAGATCTGTGTATTTGAATTATTGCATATAACCAGGTCAAGAAAATGCGTGACCCTGCAGCACAAAAGCAGGCTTAAGTCATTTGTAGCAATAGCCAACAATACATATACATTTCTCTTTTATGCCAAAAATCATTAGGATATTAAGTAAAGATCATGTTCCATGAAGATATTTAGTAAATCTCCTACCGTAAATATATCAAAACTTAATGTTTGATTAGTAATATGCATTGCTAAGAACTTCATTTGAACAACTTTAAAGATGATTTTCTCAATATTTAGATTTTTTTGCACCCTCAGATTCCAGATTTTCAAATAGTTGTATCATTGCATCAGCTGACGCATAAATCTCAATTTCATAAAATTGACCCTTATGACTGGTTTTGTGCTCCGGGTCACATGCTTTTCTGAAATATATACATGCATGTGTTTGTATTTATATATACATAATACACACACATATAGCATGTAAACAAAAAGCTTTATTTAGCATGTGATGAATGGTCTGACGGCACTAATTGAAATACACTGAGGCGGAGAGAGCGTGTGTGAGCTGGTGGCACGGACCGACAGGTGTGAGGTTGATGATGTATCCGTCTCCCAGGTAAAGAGCCCAGTGCTGATAGGCCGGTCTGAAGATCTCGATCAGGTCTCCAGGCTGAGGCTCCTCATCAGCTGCACTCGAGGCCATCTGAAGCAAACACACAAATCACGCTTCTTTAGCAATAACAGACCTGCGTTTGATTACTGAGCTTGTCCATTTGATAGATTGCAGGCTTAACGTTTTTTCTTTAATCCTCAGATTAAACTAAAAACCCGAATAATGGCGTGATCTTTCTCCCTTGAGTCTGCCAGCCAATATTCATCTTTTGTCATGTCAGTTTAATAAGTCAAAAGTTGACTCACTCATGAGAAATAACTAATAATTAATCATCAGCAATAATGTTTCTGTTGTGTAGGATATAAGAGAGTTTCGGTTGATTTGTTATTTAGTGTCATTCATTATTTTTTATTAAGAGAGGTCACTTTTCACATTAATTAATCTTTTTAAAAAATATTTTATTTAGGATTATTCTTGCTGTACAATGAATGTATATGTGGTCCGTCATATACACGCAGTATAAAAATAAATATTCAATACAGTGGTTTTATGCCGCAATATATATAAAACATTACATAATTTAATAATAATAAAAAAATTCCCGTCTAAATAAAAGCAAAAAAAACGCCAAAAATAAATATCCAATATATTGATTTTATTTCTCAATGTAATAATAATAATAATTTACTAATAAATAAAAATTCCTATCTAAATAAAGGCAAAAATGCCCAAAAATAAGTCTTCAATATATTAATTTTATTCAGCAATATCTATAATAATAAATCATATGAATTGACATATATTCACAGGTGCACAAAGGAGTGCATCATGGGTAATTAGTTTGTATTTTTCATAATTTAGTCGTATCGTATCGTATCGTATAATACCTTCTTTAATGCTGCTAAAAATGATTTTATTGCTCAGTATTTTTGTCTGGTTTTCTGTTACAAGCACCTAAACACTCACAGATCAAGAAACATTTACCGGAGACGCTAAATGACTAGATTTGAATTAATTATTCATTTAATTATTAATAATTTTCAGCGAGAATGATTGAGAGTTATCATTTTATATAGGCTACCATATGACAGGTGTTCTTGTTTTAATCATAAACTTTTCAGAAAACAAGTCATTTTGTGCCTTCGGTAAATGAATCTTAAGGATGTTTAGCCGATGCTCGTCTTTACACAATCTGCTCATACACACACATTTCCAAATAACTGAAGAAGTGCTTGTTTACTCACATGAACAGTTCTTCTCTGTTGATTATCCATCATCCCACAGCAGAATTCTGCACATTCTGATGGAAAATACACCAGCGTTTCACATCTTTATACATGCGCTTGAATCATCCTTCATTCTTGCTGTACAATGAATGTATATGTGGTCCGTCATATACACGCAGTATAAAAATAAATATTCAATACAGTGGTTTTATGCCGCAATATATATAAAACATTACATCATTTAATAATAAAAAAATTCCTGTCTAAATAAAAGCAAAAAAACCGCCAAAAATAAATATCCAATATATTGATTTTATTTCTCAATGTAATAATAATAATAATTTACTAATAAATAAAAATTCCTATCTAAATAAAGGCAAAAATGCCCAAAAATAAGTCTTCAATATATTAATTTTATTCAGCAATATCTATAATAATAAATCATATGAATTGACATATATTCACAGGTGCACAAAGGAGTGCATCATGGGTAATTAGTTTGTATTTTTCATAATTTAGTCGTATCGTATCGTATCGTATAATACCTTCTTTAATGCTGCTAAAAATGATTTTATTGCTCAGTATTTTTGTCTGGTTTTCTGTTACAAGCACCTAAACACTCACAGATCAAGAAACATTTACCAGAGACGCTAAATGACTAGATTTGAATTAATTATTCATTTAATTATTAATAATTTTCAGCGAGAATGATTGAGAGTTGTCATTTTATATAGGCTACCATATGACAGGTGTTCTTGTTTTAATCATAAACTTTTCAGAAAACAAGTCATTTTGTGCCTTCGGTAAATGAATCTTAAGGATGTTTAGCCGATGCTCGTCTTTACACAATCTGCTCATACACACACATTTCCAAATAACTGAAGAAGTGCTTGTTTACTCACATGAACAGTTCTTCTCTGTTGATTATCCATCATCCCACAGCAGAATTCTGCACATTCTGATGAAAAATACACCAGCGTTTCACATCTTTATACATGCGCTTGAATCATCCTTCATTTAAAGATGTTAGAGGAATAGTTCACCCAAAAAGGAGAGTTCTGTCATCAGTTGTTTTAAACCTGTATGAGTTCTTTCTTCTGTTCAACACAAAAGAAGCTTCAACAAAACAACATGTAGAGAGGAAACGATGACAGAATTCTCATGTTTGTGCGTACTGTCCCTTTAAATGTGCTCAACTGATGGCTCATCAGACACTGGTGCCACACTGAAATCAGTGAGCGGTCACACTTGTGAGCATGTTAGGTGTGAGGTGAAAACAGCCAGAGAATGCTGGAGTAACACAACACAATGACCACACACACGATTCACAGGCTCTTACAATAGCTTCTCAATAATAGAGAAACCAGCAGAAGAACACGGGCCGTGAAACCTGTTCATCAAACATAGTGTTTGCAATATATTGATTTTATTTCTCAATGTAATAATAATAATAATTTACTAATAAATAAAAATTCCTATCTAAATAAAGGCAAAAATGCCCAAAAATAAGTCTTCAATATATTAATTTTATTCAGCAATATCTATAATAATAAATCATATGAATTGACATATATTCACAGGTGCACAAAGGAGTGCATCATGGGTAATTAGTTTGTATTTTTCATAATTTAGTCGTATCGTATCGTATCGTATAATACCTTCTTTAATGCTGCTAAAAATGATTTTATTGCTCAGTATTTTTGTCTGGTTTTCTGTTACAAGCACCTAAACACTCACAGATCAAGAAACATTTACCGGAGACGCTAAATGACTAGATTTGAATTAATTATTCATTTAATTATTAATAATTTTCAGCGAGAATGATTGAGAGTTATCATTTTATATAGGCTACCATATGACAGGTGTTCTTGTTTTAATCATAAACTTTTCAGAAAACAAGTCATTTTGTGCCTTCGGTAAATGAATCTTAAGGATGTTTAGCCGATGCTCGTCTTTACACAATCTGCTCATACACACACATTTCCAAATAACTGAAGAAGTGCTTGTTTACTCACATGAACAGTTCTTCTCTGTTGATTATCCATCATCCCACAGCAGAATTCTGCACATTCTGATGAAAAATACACCAGCGTTTCACATCTTTATACATGCGCTTGAATCATCCTTCATTTAAAGATGTTAGAGGAATAGTTCACCCAAAAAGGAGAGTTCTGTCATCAGTTGTTTTAAACCTGTATGAGTTCTTTCTTCTGTTCAACACAAAAGAAGCTTCAACAAAACAACATGTAGAGAGGAAACGATGACAGAATTCTCATGTTTGTGCGTACTGTCCCTTTAAATGTGCTCAACTGATGGCTCATCAGACACTGGTGCCACACTGAAATCAGTGAGCGGTCACACTTGTGAGCATGTTAGGTGTGAGGTGAAAACAGCCAGAGAATGCTGGAGTAACACAACACAATGACCACACACACGATTCACAGGCTCTTACAATAGCTTCTCAATAATAGAGAAACCAGCAGAAGAACACGGGCCGTGAAACCTGTTCATCAAACATAGTGTTTGAACAGAAACACATTTCACATTTGTGTAAACTACACTTTTACTCAGAGCTTCGTGTCAAAATAAACATGTCAGAATTCACTTTCAGCTCAAATGTACTCGCTAGGGTTATTATAGTCAACTAAAACCATTGAAATAAAATACACATTCAATTAAATTAAATAAAACTTGACTTAAAAATGAAAAATTTGTTTTTTCAGCATTGCCAATGCAACGTTTCTCATTTTTATTTAGTTTAAGTTGACGACTAAAACTAAACTGAAATAAAAATCACAATAAACTATATAGACATATTTAAAAAAACGACAAAAACTGATTAAAAATGACAAAAACACTGAAGAAAATGACTTAAACGTGAAGTGAAATAAACATGAAAGCAGAAGATATGAAGAAACTCCAGCGGCATGTGAACGAGACTGCAGTAGCTTGATCAGAGCGTCTCTGGTTTCTGGAGAGCTGAATGAATGAAGTCAAACGTAGAGTCTGGCATCTAACAGCGGCGATGAGATCCCGTGGATATTAAACGAAGCAGACTCACTTATCAGCAGATGTCATGATCAGCGGGTGTCAAGCCTCCATGTGTGTGTTGTGATTCAGGAGAGCGTGTGTCTGATCTGCTGCTGCTGCTGCGGTCACTCGCCGGTCAAACACAGCACACTCACTCTGACACTCCTGAGACTACAGCAATAGCAGTACTGTTTCTGTGTGTGGCATACTGATCAGAGCAGCACTTTATTTATTCTTCTTTATTCAGAGGTTAGAGGTCACGTCACATTGTCACTGGAATTTCTCCATTATGTTTTATTTAGGATTTTAATACCTTTACAATGAATGTATATGTGGTCCGTGTGGGTCCTAAATCTTCAATACAGTGATTTTATTCCGCAATATATATATAAAGTATTGCATAATTTACTAATAAATAAAAAATCCTGTCTAAATAAAGGCAAAAATTCCAAAAATAAGTCTTTAATATATTAATTTTATTTCTCAATATAATATAATGATAATAATAAAATATCAATTCACATGGATTTATTTTTTTAATATTTGATTTAGGATTGTTCTACCTTTACTTGAATACAAATGAAAGAGTAAAAAATCCCTAAACTAAACTAAACTAAACTAAAGACAGATATCAAGACCAATGCAAAGTAAAACGACACAACGGTCCAGTTATTTAAGAGACAGTATCTAGAGAAATGCATATAGCTGCGGCAGCCTCACTGATGGAGCAGGCTTTGCTTGTAGCACTAAATCAGACAGAAACCCAGCAAAACATATCAACAAACTAGAAATGAAAACAAAACGAATAAAATAACAATCAAAAAGACTCTATTCTTTTATAGAATTTAGTTCTTTTACAAATGTAACAAAATCCTCATATATCTTATTAGCTGTTTTCCCTAATAAACCTGATAAAGTAAAGTGTTTTCTCTAATAATATACCTTCAGTGACTGAACAAGGTGACAGCTTACTCACTCTCGCGAGACTAGCCAATCTCTCCAGTCTCCCCGCACGCCATTCTCGCGAGAGTCGAGGATTGTTTCGATGCACGAAGGCGAGTCCCCTCATTCTCGCGAGACTCCGCGCTGCGTTCGCTACGCCCGCCCGTGGTTCTCGCGAGACTGCGAGCGGAAGATGGCAGATGGCTCTTCCTCGTAGGGTGTGTGAGTGTGTGTCGTTTGTTTACCGTTCGATGCGTGGCTCCGTATTTACTAGTTGAGAATTTGTTGTAAAAAATTGGTGGTAAAATAAGGTGTTGTTGTTTTTAACTAACTATTATAATATTTTGATATTTAATTCCATTGTCATTCTCATTATTGTAATACAGTAGTAATAAAATATACTGTAGTACAATTCATTTTTATTATTTCAATCAGCATAAATTAAATGCAGTTCACTAAATACTACCCTGATATATAAATAGTGACACACATGTACATGATAACATAAATGTTTTTTCCTGCATGAGGAATTGTTGTAATAATAATTTGGTAGGTAAATGTTTAATTGTTGTGAACATTATATCATAATGCAAAAATGGCTTCTTTTTCTTAATGCAAAATGTAATTTAGTTGTTTCTGTGCTAAGACCAGAGTGTGTTTTTGATAGATTTTATGAGATCGACCCCGAACTGTTTAGTGTAGAGTAGATTTTGATCACTTTTGAACATGATAATTATCATCAGAAGTTTTTTATTAGTGCTGTTGATTGATATTCATGTCTTATGTTATAATTTCATACAGTTAGTGATATACGGCTTGAAATATCCCACTGAATTTGACTATTTAATGTACTTCATGAAGTTTTGATGTTCTCTTTAGTAATGCCGAATGCATTTGTCTGTGAATGCGGGCCGTGGTGAAATATTCATGCACGACTCCCCTGTGAGCGCATGACTACACTCTAATTTCATTAATACACTACACGCTTATTAATAATTTAAGTGGGATTTCTCAGAGGCGTAGCGGGAATGGAAGACCTCGCTGGCTGATTTAGTGAAGAATGTTGCTGTAAATCTGCCTCATTGTGTTCAGAGTTCACTCACACATACTCACACACACACACACTCTCTCACACACTCACACTCACACTCACACTCACACTCACACTCACACTCACACTCACACTCACACTCACACTCACACTCACACTCACACTCACACTCACACTCACACTCACACTCACACTCACACTCACACTCACACTCACACTCACACTCACACTCACACTCACACTCACACTCACACTCACACTCACACTCACACTCACACTCACACTCACACTCACACTCACACTCACACTCACACTCACACTCACACTCACACTCACACTCACACTCACACTCACACTCACACTCACACTCACACTCACACTCACACTCACACTCACACTCACACTCACACTCACACTCACACTCACACTCACACTCACACTCACACTCACACTCACACTCACACTCACACTCACACTCACACTCACACTCACACTCACACTCACACTCACACTCACACTCACACTCACACTCACACTCACACTCACACTCACACTCACACTCACACTCACACTCACACTCACACTCACACTCACACTCACACTCACACTCACACTCACACTCACACTCACACTCACACTCACACTCACACTCACACTCACACTCACACTCACACTCACACTCACACTCACACTCACACTCACACTCACACTCACACTCACACTCACACTCACACTCACACTCACACTCACACTCACACTCACACTCACACTCACACTCACACTCACACTCACACTCACACTCACACTCACACTCACACTCACACTCACACTCACACTCACACTCACACTCACACTCACACTCACACTCACACTCACACTCACACTCACACTCACACTCACACTCACACTCACACTCACACTCACACTCACACTCACACTCACACTCACACTCACACTCACACTCACACTCACACTCACACTCACACTCACACTCACACTCACACTCACACTCACACTCACACTCACACTCACACTCACACTCACACTCACACTCACACTCACACTCACACTCACACTCACACTCACACTCACACACACACACACACACTCTCTCACACTCTCACACACACACTCTCACACACACAGACAGACAGACAGAGAGAGAGAGAGAGAGGGGGTTTGTTCAGAAAGTCTGTCTCAACACTAGCATTGCATTCATGCACTTAAATGTCTTGTGTTTGATTACAAATGCTGCAAAAATTCTATTGGATAACACAGGGTTTCTGCTTCCACAAATTAAGGCCTGAAATGAATTTTAAATTGGAGCAGAAAGTCTTAAATTCATAAAATTGTGGCATTAAATGTTGCATGCGCTGCAAAACCTACATCTCTTCCACCGTACTTTTGTCTTGTTTTCCAGTAGAAATATCTAAACATCCTGAAATCAAGATACATTTACTGGAGATGCAGAATGAAGATATGAAGTCTTTTTTTATGAGAAACTGATCAAAATGAAGTCGTTTCGTGATCCGTGCTTATGAGTCCCGATTCGAATCAAATGATTTGCGAACCATCATTTTAGATTGTGATCATTCAATTCGCAAAATGATTTGTGAACTTGCTCCAAAGTTCTGATCTGAATCAAAAAATTCACAAGCCTGCTCCAAAATGCCGAACTGAATCAAATGATTCGTGAACCATCATTTCAGATAAGGACTTCGGAGCGTGGAGCGGGAATCATTTAATTTGCGAAATGATTCACGAACCGGCTCTGAAGTTCTGAACTCTTAGCTCATAAAACTCTTTCTCATAAAACAAGTCTTCTGATTTTGTGTCATTCTGCTTCTCCAGTAAATGTATCTTGATTTCAGAATCTATTGACATTTTCTCTGGAAAACAAGACAAAAATACAGAGGAAGAACAGCACTTTTTTTGCAGTGTGATCAGAAGTACAGTAAAAGTTATTTCCATATTCTAGTGTTTTGGAGAATGAATTCAAATGGATTAAAAAGTAATGGAAATCTATTTCAAGTTGTATTTTCAAACTTTGATGTGTTGCTAGAAGAAGACATTTATATTTAGAGAACATATTAACATGTTCCATTCAATGTTTTCATTACATTTTCTTTATTTGGTCTTAAAATAGTCTTCAATTTACCTTCATAAACCTGCAGAGACCATAAAAACCGACACAGTAGAAGATCGAAATGTACATTTATGGAGCAGATCATAAGTGTTTTTTGGTAGTCGTGATTTTAATCTTGATTATTTATTCAATTGAATCTGATCTCTTCATTGACTGAATCTGAAATAAAAGCCGTTGGGCTGTGCTGAGTGTTTCTAGCGGAGAGAAGGACATTGTTAAGCGCTAACAGAGCGGCGCAGAAGGTCACCAAACACTTGGCAGCGACTCAAACTTGCTGCCGTCGCTGTGTTTCTCCGCTGAAGCAGAGACTGAACACGTCACAATGAACTGACGCTGATCACAGTGACATGATAAATGTGCAGTATGGGAGGTTTCTGTCTGCATGATTTCACGAGCAGAGCGCAACCAAAGCACTGCGACTGGAAGCTTGTTTCCAATGAAAAATAACAAAAGATACTTGCAACTTGTTATTACACAATTAGTGATAAAGTGATAAACCTGCAATTTTGAGCTGCTTTGTTTACAGCCGTTACTGGAGAAACCGCTAGTTTTATCACTCTAAAAGCGCCTCCTGCTGGCAGAGAATGAGTTTGCGTTTTCAATAATAAGCCCATCTCCAGCAACATTTGTTGTTGCTCAATTTTTTCCTCCAGTGAAAAAGTGCATCTGCTGTTGTCTCTCACATCAAAAATCTAGTCACATATGTGTTTAGAGCTGTTTAAACGCTGCTTGATCTGTGCAGATTTCTCTCCTGATTCTCACCAGAACACTGACTCACTGGAGGAAGCGTTATTATGGATTATGGACTCGTATAAAAACGTCTTAATGCTGGATTAGTTAAAGCTTTTGTCTTCTCCAGATGTTCACTGATGGACTGGAGTGCTGTGGATTATTGTGATGTTTTTATCAGCTGTTTGGACTCTCATTCTGACGGCACCCATTCATATAAAGCTGTTTTGAAACCATATTTTCAGGTGACAGATGAAGTGGGAAGTTAATGGTTGATGTGTTATGTTTCAGTCACGGCTCTGCTGAGGAAGCTGAAGCAGCAGTCACGAGAGAGTGTGGAGGACAAGAGACCCCGTCTGCTCAAAGCACTGAAAGAGGTAAAGCAGCAGGCCACACACACACACACACACACACACACACACACACACACAGAGTCCCCGTGTATTAATTAGCATTAGAGAGTCTGAGGCATCTGGGAATGACCTACAGGAAAGAAGATATACGCAATGTCACCTCACTGCAGACACTTAGATTCACACGAGCGCTCATAACAAACCATGACTTTGAGTTCATATTTTAGTTAGTAACTTACTGATGGGATGTTAATCAGAAATTTGTCTTAAAAATGGGAATATTTTAGGTTTTCCTTAAAATATAATGCTGAAAGTGCTTTTATAATTGCTGTGTTTTATATATACTATTGTAGGAAAGAAATTGAATATAGTTTTCTTAATTTATTGAAGTTTTATTTTAATTTCTACTAATAGAATTTGCTGCTAATATGGCAATTAGGGGTGTGCGATATTGACAAAAAATAATATCTCGATATTTTCTGGGATTTTATCGATAACAATAATTAGAAGATATTTTGCTGAGTGTGTTATTGTGCCTCCTGAATTTTCTTCATATTCTGTGGTCAGTTCACAGCAGTGTTAGAAATTAATCTTTAATGGGCATTTTTACCTTTATACCTTTATTTTTTTCTAAAAGTGCATTGTCTTTTGAATCAAATTCTTACATTTAATCAGTGAATTGGAATAATAAGACCAAAAATTTGGGTTTTTACCAAGCAAATGAAAGTTTCAGTATCAGGATCAAGAAAATTAATCTTTGCAACGCAGAGGAAACACAGAAGCTGCATCTGAAGAGGCGTTTAGATGCATTTACACGCTGTTTAATGCAG